GAGAGAGAGAGAGAGAGAGAGAGAGAGAGAGAGAGAGAAAGGAATAATGAAAAATAGAGAGAGAGAAAAAAAAAAGAAAATAAAAGATACCATGCAGGTGTATGTTGAGAGACTGTGCCGTAAGGGGATTGATGTGCACCGACGATATATTGTTCGATTGTTGATTAGGCTGCTGTTTTTTCTTCCCGAAACCCTCCAGGAACTCCATCCCTTGCAAAGAGTACAGCTCTGCGTGAACAACAAACGAAAAAGGGGCTGAATAAGGACAACAAAAAAAAAAAAAAAAAAAGAATAAATCGCAACAACAGGTGTATATATTTATATATAGATATGTAAAACGGGAAACGAGCAAAGAAGCGGAATTTCTGTGGACGAAAGTGGACGCGAAAGAATTTTCGCTTGCGTTTACAAAAGTAACAAACTTGCTATCCTCCCACGAGTGAGTGTTCTTTATGGAGAGACAAACTGTTGCATAAAAGAAATCTGCGCGCAGAAATTTTTTTTTTTTTTCCTTTTCCGCTCGCGTTTAATTAAACATCCTTTCGCAAAGTTAAAGTCGACTCGATGTCAAATATATTCTCGCCAAGATTCTCCCTATTATTTTTCTTTATCCTATCGTTGCAATTTTCTTTCGACCTCGAAACCTCACCCTTCTCTTCCTCCTCCTCCTCCTCCTCCTCCTCCTCCCGTGAATTCATGCGCTTCATGTCGAGTAAAGCGATCGAGAAAAGAAAGAAGGAAAGTAAGAAAGAAAAAGAAAAAAAATAAGTGGTAAATTTCCATCGAAGAACGGAATAATTCCGTCCCTTGGATCTCTTTACTTTCGCTCGCGAAAATGGTCGGGATCGTCGAAATCGAGCTCTCTCCTCTCGCCCAAGGGAGAGCGACTTCAATTCAAAAGAAATTCGAATTCGATAATAACAGGGTGGAAATTCGAGGGTGGAAAGTGATTAAAAAAAAAGAAACCTGATGGGCCGTACTTGATCCAGAGGTGGTCGTAACGAGTACCCTATCCTGACCCAGGGAATCGTGCTCCCTCGATTCTTTGATCGACTTCTTCCTCCCAACCGAGACCTTGCTACGAAAGCTGCCGCCCCGTGCGTTCGTCCAAAAGTTGGCGATATTGTCCACCGTCCTGATCCTGCACGACTTGGACGAGCAAACCGAAGTTTTCCTAATTTTCTCGGACGACTTGGGACGCCCCTTCGACGCGTCCCCGTCGTCGAGACACCCCCTCTCGGCCACCAAGTCGTCCAACACCAAGCTGCTCGCGACCTCCTCGCGGTCACGCGGCGCCACGTCGTTCACCGACAAACTTCTCGCCTTCGTGACGGTGAACGAGCACCGATCGCTCTTACCATCGCGCTCGAATTCGTTCGTTCGCCGGTAATCGTCGTCGCCGAGCCCCCCCTCCGATCCTCGCCCCCTGTCTTTCAATTCTTCGAACGGAATGTTCTTCGAATTCGCGACCACCGGCCAACGCTCGTGTCGCCCGTCCGCGTCGTCGTCCTTGCACTCGTCGGCCTCGCTCGCAACGTGATCCGAATTCTCGGATTCGAAGAGGAAAGCGGACACGGACGAGTCGAGGGAGGTGTCCAGGCGAAAAGTCGGGTTCTCGTAGGACGCGTGGCCACCGGTGGCGGGAAAAGGAGGACGCTTTTTCTCCTCGCTCTCCCCCTCCCCCTCGTTGCTCCTCCTCCAACGAAATATATGACGCGTCGTCATCGCTTTATCAGGCGAGATCTCGTCGCTGCTCTTTCTATTCCCTCGACACTTGCGATTTTTCTCCGTCATCAGGTCTGCGAGGCACAGTTTGCTCAGCTCCTTGGCGATCTTTCGGGACTCGAACTCGGTCGACGGGAGGCGGTCGTTCCGGGGAAGAAGAGTCTCGTTGTCGGTCCTCGAACGACGATTCTCGGCGGAAGGATCGGCTGTGTTGTTGTTGTTGTTGTTGTTGTTGACGGGGGACGATACTTCCTCCACCAGGCTCAATTTCTCCCGTTTCCTTTTCGAATGTTGCAAATTGGCCGGAGACAAATCGAAACCACCGTTTAAACGCATGCTCGCCCGGCTGCGTAGCTTCGACATCAGCTTCATCGATGCTCGAAAGGACCTCGACCGTTTCAAGGTCGACATCCTGTCGCTCGACGACCGCCTCGAGAGCAATTCCATTTTCGGACTGGACGTGGACAATTTGCGAAATTTCATCTGGAGGATCTTTCCACGTTTTCCAATCGATGCCTTTTGCCTCCTACGGTGCCTTTTGTTTTTCCAAGTTTTTCTTTCCTTTTTTTTTTTTTTTCAAATTTTATCTAATCTAATCACGAAATCACGTTTCACTCGCGCAAACTACTCTATCTTTTCGTAGTTTTCGTTGAACTTTCACGTGGAATATTCCGAGAAAAAGAAGAGGAAGGAACGATAAAATATATTCCTCGCTCGTTTGTATAAATTTATATTTATATTAATATTCGTATTTCTTTGGCAAAGGAAGACTTTCAGATTCGTTTCTTCTTCGGATACCCTTTCAGCTACTTCTTTGGTTCGATAAAGCTGAAAAATCGACGAGTATTTTCATGTATAATAAGGACGATTTAATTCTTCCCCCGCAGCAGTCTTTCTTTCAACGGAAACACGATCAACGTTTTTCTCCGCAAGCGGCTAAGAAGATAAAAATTTTTAACATCTCCAACTATACTACACTCTCCTCTGGAATAGATATAAATCACCTTCTTATCTCACACTTCTCCGTTTCTCATCTTAATATCTCTTTACGACGTCGTTAAAAAAACACCGATAACTTGCAAACGTTGGAGAATCGAAAGTAGTAATAATAATTGAAAGAAAGAGAAGTAGAAAAGAAAAGAAAAAAAAAAAATGTACGAAAGAAATCAACGCAACGATAAAACGCAGATTCGAACCCGTGAACACATTCGAGATCCTCCTACGTAATTCTTGCGTCCACCATTTCGAACATCGCTCTTCGAGCTCGCTAAACCGTTGAATTATTCACCAAACGCAACGTTTAACGTGAAATTTCATATTCGAGGGGGGAGAGGAGGGGGGAGAAGGGAGAACCGATCCGCAATTTCACGGAATACATGGCGAAATTTTCCAAGAGGTTGGATTCCAAGAGGGGCGAGCCGAACGAACGAACGAATCCGTATGAACGCGTGTCGCACGATGGACTGGTTGGCTCGAGCGAGGAACGATTTTATTATTTACTTAGGACACGACCGATTCCAGTGCGCCAACCGCAATTGCCTATTACGAAGAAGTGGTGGAGTGGTGAACGTCGCCTCTTCCTCCTCGAGACGAGAGTGACAATTTGTTAGCCCAATCAAACTTATTGCCAGCGTCCGTGACTGGTCTCGTTGCTCGGATCGAGCAAGATCTCTGGGTACTGAGGGCGTTGCATCGAGCCCGAGATCCTCGAAAAGGATGATGGGATGAGAGATTTAAGGAGTTCGAAGAACGATTCGATTCGATTCGAGCCAGATCGATTTCCGATCCTCTCGTCTCATTCGTCATTCTCGAAGAGTATATGATAATTTCTCGAACGCGATTCGATTGATTTTCGAATTGGAAGAGAAGTTTGGAGAGGTATGTGTATGTACCGGGAGGAGAGATACAGCGTTTATCTCCAGAAATATCTGGTTACTCGCATTTGATGGGGCGTAATTCGTGAGATTGGGGATAAAGGGATCCGTAACGATTTCTTTATGATTATTAAAGATATGATGGACGATAATAGGGACGAAATTTATAAGGCTATTATGCAATTGTCTTGCGGTTGTTTAATTTTTCGGCTATGAATGGGGACGAAAGAAATTCCGAAAGAGAATGATGGAAGATATCTCTGACTTTATTTAAGAAAATTGAATTTTTAATATTCACGAGAGACGATGCGAACGACGAAAATTTGTGAAACGAGAATTTTTCCGAGATTCGTTTCGATCTTTCAAAAAAAAAAAAAAAAGAAAAAAAAAATCTTCCTTACTTCTCCTCTCTTATCGTAAATGGTATACAAACACGTGACAACGCGTCTACAAACATTAACGCGTCTCGAAACGCTTTTATCGCACGGATCGAACACTTTTCACAAGGTACAAGGCTAAAAAGAAATGGTTCGTGTGTCTAAGAAAGCAACTAGGTGGCGAACTTTGCCCATAAACCACGGTGGAAACGGCGTGGAGACCTGTAAATTGGACGGGATAGTTTGTCAACGAATAAAATGGGTAGGCGGAATAAAGCGAAATAAATAGATCGGTAAGCCCGAGAAGAAGACACGTCTCTCACCATCACAATGAAGAACGAGGATCGATCGAGGTATCGAGCGAATCCGAATCCTCCTCTTCCGGATTTCGATTCCACGTGGGATCGATAGAGTGGCTGTTTGTTGTCGATGGAGCCCCTCGGTTTGAATACCAAATAGAAATTTCTTGCAAATATAAGCGTAGGGAAAATCGAGAGGGAAGAGAGAGTTTTATCGGAAAGCAAACGGAGTCACGAGAAGAGGAGAAACGTAGACGCGATAAGCCGTTAGGGTAATACGCAGAAAAAAAGGAAAAAAGGACAAAAAGAGCGAAAAAATTCGAGGGATATGAGAATCGAGTTGTAGAAACGAGCAGAGGCAAGTGCAAATTAAACAAAACGACGGAAATGATATTATAAGTACGTCAATGATTAGATAAACTCGGCAGACGGGCGCGATTATGGGCGGGCAGATGGTTTGAATTGTTAATTTCGAAATGCAGGATAGGGGGAGAGAGGGAAAGTTAGAAAATGAGCGCGGTTAAAGAAACACGAGGACTATCGTATCGATCGAGAGGAGGAATAAAATCGCCTCTTGCGATACAGATTGAAGTTCATTAGAAGTTAACGAGGTAATTACGGCTCGTCGAAATGATAATGGGATAATTAAAGCCAGAAGTAAATAAATTGTCGGGGGTGGATTCGATCCCTTGAGTCGTACAGATTGAAGAAATTAATCGATTATTAACGTAAAAAAAAAAAAAAAAAGAAAGAGAAAAAAAGAATATCTTCCATTTCTAATCCCCCCTTTTGTTCTTCTTAGTTTTAATCATTATTTTTTAACAACGGTACATCGATTTTTTAATCTTCGGAAACTTCTTCGAGAATGGAAGGAAGAAGCGAAGACAAACAAAGAAAAGAGTATACATCAGTAACTTCCTCTCGTTTTAACGTCCATTGTGCTAATAGCCACTAATAACGCTTCCGTTTCCCCTTTCTCCTTCGTGATTACCGTCTCACCATTGTTGCCGCGAAAGATCTGATCGCACGGCGAGATTTTCAATAGGAAAGAACGAAATCTAGACAACGGCTCAATATTGCTTTATTATTTTTTAACTCGTTCCGATTATCGACGTGTTTCAACTTCAATTTAAATGTATCTGTGAACTGCTGAATTTTTCAGATTAACGATGTTAAGAAGAGATTTTTTTTTTTTAGAAAGGCAAAAAAAAAAGAAACGAAAGAACGAGTTGGATGCATCGAGACATCGATTTCTTCGGACGCGTTTCAATCCCGAGATATTAGTTTCCTCGTAAAGGCGAATGGAAATTAGAGCTTTTACTATTTCTTCCTCGTTCGAGCAACATTCGAGCAATTTTTTCGCGGCCATTAAAAGCTCCGAGCGACGAAAGTGGATTACATTGCAGAAAATTGCGCATTCTTGCCAACGGAGAATGAGATGAATAAACCTGCCATTGAAACGTGAAAGCGACGCGTCAGAAAAGAAAAAGATGAAAAAACGAAAAAAAGAGAAGAAAATGGAAGTAGTAAAGTAACTTCAAAGTAACGGTCAAACTCGGATACGCGATAAAAACGGGTCCTGAACGGAACAACGTTGATCCTGGTGAACGTGCGCGAGGGGGGAAAGGGTAACGAGTGAAAAGAAGAAAAATAGATTAAACGATCGTCCACTGTTTTATCTCTGCACAAATGTCAACACGCTGTCAGTGATGCGGAAATCCTGAAAAAGCGATTTGCGGCTAACGGATCTCTTTACAAGCTACGTTTGGCTCGATGTGTCGGATTAAAAATCGAATAATCACGTGTTCTCTTTGATATTCTAAAAGAGGTATCGATATTAACGGAAAAAAACTAACAAAAGCTTGAAAATAGCAATTAAATTCTTTATCCTTTTTTATGACATCGTCCTCTATATATTTTTTTCGATAAACTATTACGATCTATTATTTCGTTTAATTCGTGGAGTTACCGTTCTCTGACATTGTTAATATAATCGTTGTTCCGTGACGAATTGTTCCGTGCGTTGCAAACCATCGATCGCGGAGTTAACGAATCGTTGAGAGAAACGATTCATAGAGAAGAGCATTTAGACGAAAAAATATTGGTTTCCCATAGTAATAAACTTGTGAATCAATTACAATTACGAGGAAGACAAGGAACGCGGAAAAATTCGATATATAGGATGAAAACGGAATTATCGTCTTTTCGGTGAAATATTTCTATTATTAATATAGAAATTCTATTTTCCCTAAAACGCGTCATTCCAGGAAACTAGGGTAATTAGGATGGAGTACACCCTTGCCAGTCATGGAAACGTTAACAATGGATCCTTTTGAAGCGTTGTCCTCCTTATCTGAAACCCGTCTACGATAAACAGCAATCTACTTCCGTTCCCGCGCGAAACTATGGTTCTCTGACACTAGGAGGCGAACGCCTTCTTCCGCTCGTCAAGCGGTTCGAACATGCTCAAGACGCATATTTAATGAATGATATTACGAAAACATCATGTTAACATCTGGAAGTATTATCTGACTAATTAAAAAATATTTCTCTCATTTCTCTTGATTATCTTTTTTCAATCCGTTATTTTTAAATAATTTATTATTAATTAAATATTACATAATTGATAGAAAAATTAGAATTAAAGTCGTATATTGAAAGAGATTAATTATTTTTAATTTAGCTATGAAACATGGCGTGCATATGCATGCGAATAACCATCAAGCGTTAAGCTTGATGTTAATGCTATTATGAATAATATTCCACAGTATATAAATTTTTTTTCAGGAATAATTAAGCTTAATGCTTAGTGATTTCACGTACAAAACATATATATATATATGTTTTTCCTGGCAGAATTAAAAATAATTATGCTTTTTAATTTAATTTTATTATATTTATAAGTTTGTATGTTATAATTAATTAAAAAAAAATCTCTCAATAAAATAACATGTTTGCTACAACAAAAATGATATTAACGTTATCATAAAAAATAATGATAATTTCCATATCTTTTGAAAATGTGATAAAAATCGATATA